GCTCTGAGCCATCAGCCCAGAGCCTGACGCGGGGCTTGAACTCACAGACCGCGAGATCGTGACCTGGCTGAAGCCGGACGCTTAACCGACTGCGCCACCCAGGCGCCCCTGCTCTCATCAATTTGAGTCCAGTTGCCATGGTGACCCGGTTCTAGAGAGGGGAAGCGAATTCTGCCAGGGGTCACTCAGATTCCACAAAAAAGGGGACCGAAGCCACTTAACCTTAAATGTGATAACGATACTGGGGTGCCTGGGTGGCTCAGTCGGTTGAGTGTCCGACTTCGACTCAGGTCATGATCTCACAGTTCACGGGTTCGAGCCCTGCATCGGGCTCTGTGCGCACAGCTCAGAGCCTGGAGCCTGCTTCGGATTCGGTGTCTCCCTCCCTGTCTGCCCTTCCCCGCTTGTGCTGTGTCTCTCTCTCTCTCTCTCTCTCTCTCTCTCTCTCCAAAATAAACATTAAAAAAAAACATTTAAAAATTTTAAAAAATGTGATAACGATACTGCAGAAGATAAATGAGACTCGCAAGTCACCGAATATGGATCTGTGGATCTGGCGAGCATCGTTCTTCTGGAATGTGGATGTTCACCCACCAGGAAGCTCCCAACCCCCGTGCCGCTGGGATTTTCTCAAGGTATAATTGGCATAGAACAAAACTCATCAATTAAAAAAAAAAAACAGGAACGAGAGATGCTCCCTCTGTTCTTCTCACTTGGGGATTTACAAGGGTTTTAGGAACTCCACACTGGGCACCTAGAGGAGAGACCAGAATATGTTTCCTGTTGCTTCATAGTCCTGAGTAGCTGTGTTTGGAACTGTTCTAGCTCAGCGTCCCCTGCGAAGCCTTCTCCGCCAGCCCCACGCAGACCTGACTTCTTTCTGTTCTCTGTTCCCTCTGCTCCCCCCACCGTTGCCCTCAGAGGACAGGAGCCCACCCTGCTGCCCGCCCTCCCCTTCATACGTGAGTGTGTAAGTGTCATTCTCTCTCTGGCAGGCTCAGCTCCTTCTGTTCAGAAAGTGTGTTTTTGTCTTTATTAATCTTTACATCCTCGGGACTTACCTGCTCGTCTCTGTTTGGTAAACAAGCTGGAATATTGCATTTCCAGGGTAAGATGTTTTAATGGCTCATCTGTTTCTTTATAAAGGTTAAAGTAACTTTAGTTAATAAACACTGTATACTGGACTGTCTCAAATAGCGTAGGGAGCAGCAAAGAACATTTGTGTAGACGAGCAATGCAGTGTCATGTTGAAAAATGTGGATGTCGGGGCACGTGGGTGGTTCAGTCCGTTAAGCATCTGACTTTGGCTCAGGTCGTGCCCTCATGGCTCATGGGTTCGAGCCCGGTGTCGGGCTCTGTGCTGACAGCTCAGAGCCTGGAACCTGCTTCAGATTCTGTGTCTCCCTCCCTCTCTGCCCCTCCACCACTCGTGCTCTCTGTTTTCAAAACTAAATAAAAACGTTAAAAAAAGAATAAGAGAAAAACATGGATGTGGATGGGGCGCTGGGGTGGCTCAGTTGGTTGAGTGTCGCTCTCTAGGTTTCAGCTGTGGTCATGATCCCAGGGTCGTGAGATCGAGCCGAGTGTCGGCGCCACACTGGGCATAGAGTCCGCTTGGGATTCTCTTTCTCTCTTCCCCCTGCTCCTGACCCCGCTTGCTTCCATGTACACTTTCTCTCTCTTTCTAATTACAAAAACTCCTAACACGTGGGTTTGGAAAGCAGAAGGCATGTCTTTTCATCCCCGTGTCCTAGCTGTGTGACCCTGCACAAGTGACTTTACACTCTGTGCACGTTACTGTCCTCATCGGTCAGGGCTGTCCCGGGATGGTGGCGATACTGAACCTCTACCACGAGAGAAAGACCTAGGATGGGACACACTGTCCCGTCTGTCCCCCAGCTGAGCCCTCTGGGCTAATGAGGAATATGCCATTGCAGGAGTCCTTGACCTTCCGGGACGTGTTTGTGGACTTCACCCTGGAGGAGTGGCGATGTCTGGACTCGGCTCAGAAGAACCTGTACAGGGATGTCATGCTGGAGAACTACAGCCACCTGGTTTCCGTGGGTGAGGGACCGTGCCACAGTGTGACCGGAACACACACATACACGTGTCACCTAGCTGGTACCTGCTCAGGGGCGTCTGGAGCCCCGGACGAGTTCGGGCCTAAGGCTCACTGTTGGGAAGTCGTAACCCTGTTTGCACCCCACACGGGACGCTGTGCCGTCGCCTGCTCTGTGGTGTGGTGCACTGAGGGGCATAGCTGTCCTGGGCGGGCACCCAGGCCGGACCACCTTTGGTCGGCAGGGTTTGGTGTCGGTTCTGGAACCCATGTGGCGTTAATAACAAAGTCTGTGTCATTTCCCCTCCTCAGGACAGCTAGTTCCCAAACCCGATGTGGTCATCAGATTGGGACAAGGAGAAGAGGCCAGGACGGCAGAGGGAGAGACCCCGACGCGGAACCCTCCGGGTAAGCGGGTGCCGGGCTAGTCAGGCCAGGGGACCTGGTAGGTCAGTGAGAGCCTGGCATGGGGGGCCCGCCTGGGAGCTCTTCTCCATGCCCCTAGACTCGGGGACACAATTTGGGTTCAATGAAGCGAGCTGCTGTCACATCCACGCGGTGCCCCCACCGACTGCCCTCCCGCAGCCCCCTTGTTCTTGCTGGGGTTCAGGCAGTGCGCCCCGTTTGTTCAGGTCCCCTCTCTAGCTCCCAGTATCCTCGGTGGCTGGGGAAGTACCGAGCCTTCCCCCTGTGTGCTCCCCCTGCTTTCTGGAAGCTCGCAGAGCATTTCCTTTCTCTTGGGCGTTTGCATTTTCCTCAGAAGACGTGGGTGCAGGCGTGAGGGTTCCTCTTTATTTACATCCTGCGGGCCCTTCCATTGACACCTGTAGTCTTCTTCAGCCCCAGGGAAACGATCCGCCTGGTTCCTTGCAGCTGGTGTGGACCAAAAGCTTTGCTAGTGACCTTCAGCTAGGCCAGGCCGGGCAGCCACCATGGCCTTGTCTATGCTCAGGTTGTGCGGACGGTGTCAACCTTCCCACGACCGTGGCCTCTCGTCTCAGCTCCTCAGTCCCTTCCAGACCTGACTCGACCCTGCCTGTTGTCAGGATCCTGCTGGCATCAATGCTTCCCTCCCACTCCCCTGTCTTTTGTGTCCTCTCTGTATTCACTGAAAACAGGTCAACCTGAGAGGACATTTCCCCAGGCGGCTCGCTCCAGTGAGCGTGGCCTCAGGCCTGGGCACAGCTGCCCTTGCCCTTGTCCAGTGGGGGGCTGGTTTGGTTGGTTTTGCTCTGGGCCCCTCATGGGACCCCCACACTCTTCAGATGCAGATCTTCCTCCGTTTGTTGCCCACGCACGGCGGCCGGTCCGTGGGCCCGTCCTCAGGGCGTGCGCGTGGATTCCGGGACTGCCCCGCGTGCTCCGTGGACCAGCAGCCGGGGCCCTAAGCAGAAGGTCATGCGCTGGGGTCCACCTCAGGGTCACAGATGTGAATCCGCTCTGCAGCAGCTGTTCGGACACCGGTGGCAGAGCCCCGGCTGCGCTGGACGCGGGCCCGGCCGCGCCCTCGTGTCCCTTGAAGCCTTCCCCGCGGTCCGCGCTGGCCGGGCTGTGCGCCGTCTCTCTCGGGGCCTGCACCCCCCTCCCTCCTCCCACGGCCGTTTGGGGGTGCACCTTCCGCTTTCTCGCTCAGTCTACCCTACGTCTGCGGCCTTGCGGAGATCCGTGAGGATTCCTGCTGTGCTGGCGGCGTGCTCTTTCCCACCTGCCGCATTTCCGGGAATCGAAATGTCTAGTTGTCTGTGCAGCGGTGCCCTGGAAGGAGGAGGCCCACACTCAGAGGCGCGGCCCCCTCTTGGGGTCCCCGCTCCCTCGGGTTCGGAACTGTATTATGTTAGGGTAACCGTCCGCTCGTGCAGTGTAGGTGCGGCGCAGTGCGGGACATGGGGTCCTCCAGCGCGTTCCCCCCCCTCACCTCCAAGGGCTGCCTCTTCTCAGGTTCGTGTCTGTAATTCTGCTGGTGGCACCTCCTGGGCCTGGGCATACCTCCACACCTGCATTTCTGGCGGTTTCTATTTTGCCCCCCCCACCCCCACCCCTCTGAACACTCAGGATGGAGCTCGTTACACCTCGGCCTAAGGGTCCCAGCTCTGTAAGAAGCTGGGTGCTGTTGGTAGTTGCTGTGCGGGTTCCGTGCGGAAGGGGAGGTGGTAGTCTCAGCTGCTGTGTTTGCACTCCAGCAGGTAACTTCTTCAAACCTCGCTCCGTGGGGGTGGCTTATCCTCTGCCGAGAGCACAGACCCCTGGGAGAGCGCCTACATCTTATCTGTCCAGCTGTGAGGCTGGGGGCACGTTCGGCAGATACGGTTCATTTGGGATGAGGGCAGAGGAAGGGGGTTCGGGGCTCATCCACAGCCCAGTAGTCAAGAACCTAGGCTTTGGAGCTCACAGGCGGGGTTCAGATTCTGGCTTCTTCGCTCACTGGCCGTCCCTCCCTCCGCACGCTGGCCCCAGAGTCTCTTTGCCTGTTTGTGGAGGCGGCTGATGCTAGAACTTCCAGGACGGTCCGAATTGAAGGAGCAGGTGAACATAAGCCTGGCCCCGTGGAAGCTCTCGGTAAATGTCATCACTGTTGTCACTGTTGTGCATGGAAAATAGTTTTTATTACAGTCATGGTTAACCAGACGTGTGTCACCTAGTGGTCTGTGGACCCCTCAGGGTACCCCACGAGGTGGTCCCTCCCAGTGGAAATGTTTTCAGAAAGCCTGGGGTGGGCCCGGTTCTGTGCGTTTTGAGCAACACTCCAGGTAGATCTGACTCTGTGTCTAGTTAAGATCCGCAGTTTAACCATCCCCGGAGAGGGGTCCAGGGGCACGGGGACACACGGCCAGGCCTCCCCCAGGAGCCTGGGATCCGTTGGGACGGAAGGCGGGGCGTGTGGACTCACTGCTGGGCATTTTGCCCCTCTTCCCTCATTCCCCCAGACCTCAGGCCGCTCCGGGACTGCACATTCCCTGGGCCTTGGAGGAAATTTCTGGCAGGTCCCATAACTTCTCTGCTTGTGCCAAGATATAGCAATCTTCTAGGAACCGTTAGTCTGCAGAGTGGCCTCACGGTGGTCATCAGGGTTGTCCAGTTCCAGGTAGTGGCGTGAAGTGTGAACTTCATTGATGGTGGTTGAGCTTTTCCCAGAAAAGTCTTTGCCTTTCTTCATTTTCCCTGTCTTTTGTTTTCTTTTTCCTTCTCCTTCTACCTTTATTTACTTTGGGTTTCTTTTGCTGTTCTTTTCTAGCTTTCTTCCTGACATCTTATCATGAAAATGCACACACTGAACAAGTGAAAGAATCATAGTTTGAATACCCATAGAATTCCACCTAGGTTCTACAGCGAACATTTTGCTCTGTTTGCTTTTTCTCATATCTCTATGTGTCCTAATTCCTCTGTCCTCCCATCAGCCCCCTTTCTTTCTTTTTAATGTTTTTATTTATTGTTGAGACAGAGAGAGATAGAGCGTGAGCAGGGGAGGGGCAGAGAGAGAGGGAGACGCAGAATCCGAAGCAGGCTCCAGGCTGTGAGCTGTCAGCACAGAGCCTGATGCGGGGCTCCAACTCACGGACTGTGAGATCATGACCTGAGCTGAAGTGGGTCTCTTAACTACTGAGCCACCGAGGTGCCCCTATCTGCCCCCTTTCTTTTTGTGATGTGTTTCCTGGTAACTTTCAGAGACCAGTACATTTCACCCCTGAATACTTTCCCAGGCGTGTCATTAACTATGTTTGTGTTGAATGCTTTTTGTGATGTGTTTCCTGCTAAGTTTCTGAGATCTGGACACTTCACCCCTGAATACTTCTGCAGGCATATCATTAACTAGAATTCATGATTTGTTAGTAGTGTTTGTCCATAATGCTTAGTAGGTATTTTAATAAAAAAATTCATAAGTAGCACCGTATGGTATTTGATTGTATGTGATGACATTTATCATAATCCCCATGTATATGTTTCATGTATTTTCATTATATATTTATGCTGAGATGACTGTTCTTAAGTGATATTTATGGAGGTATAATGTATATGCCGTAAGCTGCCTTTCTTACGCGTACAGTCCTGGAGATTTGACAGAGATTTAGTCATGGAACCAAGATACTGGACCTTTTCATTCCTCTAAAGCATATCCTTGTGCCTCTGTATAATTAAAGGTCTTCCTCACTCCCAAATCTGGGATTTGGAAATGGATTCTTCTCATTTCTAGTCTGCTAGTTTTATTCTTTCTAGAATGTCCTATAAATGCATCTTATAGTGTCCTGCCTTATGGGTCTTGCTTTCACTTAATGCTTCTTAGCTTCAACCGTGTTTGACATGTATCAGCATCTTGTTCCTTTTTGAAGGTGAATGATGTTATATTTGCTTATTCATTAAGCAGTTTATGCACATTGGATTCTTCTGGAATTTTTGGTCATTATGAAAGAAGTTGGTATGAGCATACACATCCAGGTGTTTGCTGGGCACGTTTTCATATTCTTGGATAAATACCTGGAGTGGTATTGCTTGGTCATGTGGTAAATGTATATTTAACTTCACAAGATATTACCCCACTGCTTCTCAGCATGGCCGTACCATTTTCGTTGACCACCCCCAACATAAGAATTCTGGGTGTTTTGTATCCTCGTCATTACTTGGTATTCTGAGTGTTGTTAGTTTTTCTTTTTAGTAGATGTGTAGGGAGCACCTTACTGTGATTTGAACCTGCATTTCTCCAATAACTAGTGGTTAGTGTCTTTTCATGTGTTTACTTGCCATCCGGACATCTTGGGCGAACTGTCTGTGGTAATGTTCTGCCATTTTTGTTGCTATTAAATGGTAAGAGCTCTTTACGTTTTCTAGATGCAAGTCCTTTATCAGCTATGTGTTCTCTGTGTATTTACTCCCAGGCTGTGGCTTGTTTTTATCTTACTAGTGTCTTTCAAAAGAAGACATTCTTAATTTTGGTAAAGTCCAGTTAATGGTTCTTTTATGGTTCATGCCCTTTGTGCCCCATTACACAATTCTCTGTCTAACCCACGGTAGCATAGATTTTTCTCATATGATTTCCTTTGGACAATTTATAATTTTGGCTCTTACATTTAGGTTCTTTTATGGTTCATGCCCTTTGTGCCCCATCACACAATTCTCTGTCTAACCCATGGTAGCACAGATTTTTCTCATATGATTCCTCCTTTGGAAGATTTATAATTTTAGCTCTTACATTTAGGCCAGTGGGCATAATGAGATAAGCATTCTTTTTATCTGGTGTGAGGTAAGGATCAATGTTCTTTTCTTTGCATATGCATATTCAGTTCCAGCATCATTTTTGAAAAGACTGTATTTTCTCCATCGATTTACTTTGTCCCCCTTATTGAGAACAGGTGAACACATATGTGTTGGCCTATATGCCTATACTACATTGTGTTAATTCCTGTAGCCTGATATTT